CTCCTCCTCCTCCTCGCTAGCACTCTGCGTTTGCGAAACATTATCATCATCCTCAGTGTTCGGAGCAACAGCATCGGTAGGACGGTCCGCATTACCTCCGCCCGACTGTACTAAAAAATTAAAAAACTTAGTCTCACATACAATATTGATTTATATTACGTTTAAAAAATTAAAAATTTTTTTCACGACCGCGATAGAGCATACTAAGGTAACTCACCTTTAGTTGCTTTTATCACTAGTGTAGGTTGACGTTTTTTTTGAATCTTTGTCTCTTATTAATTTTCCGGAGACAAGGGTCAAACCGGCGAGTAAGAAACATCTAATCAGAAATAATTACTTGTGATTAAAACGATAAAAATTACGGAACTAAAAATATAATAGTCAAATATTATTACCTTCATAATTGTTAGGTGCGTATCTCTCGTCGTCGTCGTCATCGTCATCGTCATCGGTTTTACTAATAATAATATCATCGTCAATATTATTGATATTATCATCACTCTCCTCCTCCTCCTCCTCCTCCACCTCGTCCAACACCTCTTGCGACTCTTCTGCGTTTCGAACTTCTTGTTCTTCATCTCCCTCTTCCTCCTCCTCCTCCTCCTCTTCCACCTCCTCATCGTCGCCTTCCATCAATATTCGCTCGATTACATCGTCGATCGTCGAAACTTCATCTGATTCCGATTCTTGTTCTTTTTCTTCTTCTACTTCCCTTTCTGGTAAAATGTAACATTTCGTTATTTCTTTTATTTGTCGCTAAATTTTTATCTTATCTTATTTTTTAAAAACTTACCACGCGGCGTAAATATGGCCGAATCGGGTGAGCTCACTATTCTCACCTCCTCTTCTTGTTCTGCTTCTTTTTCTTCCACTTCCTCTTGTTCTTCATCGTCATCTAAAACAGTATAAATTATATTTGATTTATTATACAAATATTGCAAATATTAGCTTTTACGTGTTATTATTAGTCTCTTACCGGAAGATAAATCGATGACGGGGATGTTGTCTGCGGGCAGTGGTGCAACGATTCTAGCTCTTCCTATAAAATTTAATATTTATAATATTTGTTTTTTTTAATGAATAATTAATTTTATTATTTCCTACTTACGTGCTGGTACCGCCTCCTCATCAATGTTTTCTTCCGCTCGACGTCTCTGTCCTCGTCGGACTGGTAGGACAGCGGCAATGCGGTTCTCGTCTATTAAATTAATTTAAATTTTAATGATAAACTCTACTATATTAAAATTTTAAGGTGCAATTTTTATTTCTAACACTTACCTAATCCGTTACGACGCAAAAATTTAGCAATATGCCCTCTTCCTGCGTCTTCTTCCTCGTGACGAAAAGATCAACGCGATTCTAATTCCCACAAAATGATATTCACCAATCTTTGATTTCTTTTACAGTAACCCAGTTCATCCATAACACATAACAGGGTACTGGAGCACCCACGCACGAAACGTTCGAAAAGTTTATAATTCGCCTCTTCGACGATTGTCGCTGCTTCTACAAACTTCCGCTCATTAAACACTTCTACAAACACTTGCTTATTAAAGTGTTTGCTTAAATTGCAACTCACTTTAAAAAAATCGATCAAAGTTGCGCGGAGAGACATTTTCGACACTTTATTTGTCTGATTAGCTAAGAGCGTTGCAAGACGACTCCAGTACACTCGGACAAATAAGGACTAACTCTCAGCTATAGTATTACAGGCCATTTATAGTTGGAAATATTTCCAAAAACTTCTAGAATAATGGCGTGCCAAAAATTTTCTACCTAAGCCATTGGTTACCAAATTTGAGACTTTCCCGCCCACTTTCTTCCCATTCTCCATTACCGGTGGAAGAGAAAGGTTTTCGCAAAAAAGTTATTTTTTGTCATAAAACTTTTCCATCTTGTTCACAATAAAACCATAAAACCATATTCTTTTATTTAAGGCCTTTATTCCAACATGAAACTAGAAGGTTTTATTATCCCATTTGAGAAATTTATTGATTTATTAATTGCTTCCAGTGTAAAAAGCCAAAAATTTCTAGAATAATGGCGTAACAAAAAATGTCTACCTAAGACCCTAATTAGCAAATTCAAAACCTACCTGCTCACTTTCTCCCTACCTTCCTTTCAGGTGAAAAAAAGTTTTCGGAGAAAGGTTCTATACCATAATCCCTTTTCCGTCTTGTTCACAATAAAATCATAAAACCATATTCTTTTATTTAAGGCCTTTGTTCCATATGATTTATGACGGTGTTCTTTTTAGGACTTGGGTCTGAACAAAGAGTTTTCGAAAATATCAAATACGCTTGGTTTCTAAGATTTGCTCATGTATTACTTATTTCCTGCGGAAACGAAGTTGTAAAACAGGAACGGACAGGTTCGCTTTATGACGTCATGCAACTATTCCGTTTTAAATAAAAGTTTTTATTATTGAACGCATTCGAAAAATTTACGATTTAGAAACTGACCAATCCTGAAAAAATAAGAGAAAAAGGAATTTGTTGCGGAGAACGTGAGGATTGAAGAAAAATAGAAAAAAGTAGAAGTTACAAAAAAATGTTTATTACTACAAATTCTTCTTCATAGGAAAAAATACAATTTAGTCGCTTATAAAGTAAGGTTGAAGATAAAATGTTTAAACAATAATGTTATAAAATTTACAATCCGCGATTCGACAAAATTATACGACAGATTTCGGTAATTCGCAGCACACAAAGTTCTATCATTACTATATTAAAATACGCATCGAGGAAAGTTAAATCGGTTATTTGATGTTGTACATTAAATTCGATGTCGAAGTAATTTCCTCTGAGAGTCAATTTTACAATTTCCTCATCTATATAACCTTTAGGAAGATTTAACTCTATTTCCTTAATAAGATAATGCGCGCAATTGTTAACATTATCGGCCACTGATTTTAAATGTAATAAATGTGCATCGATACATTTCGCAATATTTTTCAGCCCGAGAAATGTAGGCTTCTGCATCACAATTGCCACAGCGTATGTTTTTCGTTTCTTCGTCGGTGGACAATTTTCCTCGCCTGTTCGTTGATTCGTCCTGGCAGAAGTATCTTCCTCGTTTTCCTTGTACGCCAGCAATATAGATCTTGCTCCGTAGGCCGAAGTAAAATTGACGGAGATATTGTTAATGGAGATAGAATTCGGCTTCAATTTGCTTTCTCCATTTAAATATTCGCTCACGAGTCCCATGTTCTCTTGAAACTGCTGCCACGATTTCTCGTCGAAATAAACGCCGTCCGCACAGTTGCCGGTTAATTTGACCAACGGCACGAAAACTCCCTCGGATGTTGCTTGCAAACCCACATGAATTCTCTTCGTATGGGAGCTGTTGAGTCCATATGTTGTCGATAACAGCATATGTAATTGCTCGTTTCTTCCCTTGAAGTCACGTCCCTTATCGGGAATCCCTTTATCAGGAATATCGCGAGTGAACATCCGCTTCTCAGAATTATTAGCGTCTTCTCGGTGACTAGCCATTGTTCTTATTTCTTCGTAATATCGGCTGACACACACTCACACCAATCGAAAAGTCGGATGAGAGAGTTATACTTTTTCACTGGCAAACTTGTCGCTTCGAACGTTGGGACTCGAATGATTTTGCTTCGTAACGTTAGTCAAAACGTTAACTTCGTCTGTAACGTTGTAGAAAAATTAGTCTGCGCACGCAGATAGAAAATTAGAAAACTTTAGATTTTTCCAGACTTTTCTAGAATTTTTTTTAGTTTAAACTAAAAATTCTGTTATATAGGTGGTTTATATAGGAAGCTAAGAGAATTTGTTAATAAAGTGATCGGCTAAAAATTTTATACAAAAAACGTAATAGTTAAAAATTTTTTTAATTTTAAATAAAAATATTTCTAAAAAAATAAAGGAACAACAAAAATCTATTCGAGCTCTTTTTATCTTTTTAAATCATTTAATAAATAATTCTTTGTATGTTCTTAGATAAAAGAATATAATTTTGTCGAATCGCGAATTGTAAATTTTATAACATTATTGTTTAAACATTTTATCTACAACCTTACTTTATAAGCGGCTAAATTGTATTTTTTCCTGTGAAGAAGAATTTGTAGTAATAAACATTTTTTTGTAACTTCTACTTTTTTCTATTTTTCTTCAATCCTCACGTTCTCCGCAACAAATTCCTTTTTCTCTTATTTTTTCAGCATTGGTCAGTTTTTAAATCGTAAATTTTTCGAATGCGTTTAATAATAAAAACTTTTATTTAAAACGGAATAGTTGCATGACGTCATAAAGCGTACCTGTCTGTTCCTGTTTTACAACCTCGTTTCCGCAGAAAATAAGTAATACATGAGCAAATCTTAGAAACCAAGCGTATTTATTTATTTCGAAAACTCTTTGTTCAGACCCAAGTCCTAAAAAGAACACCGTCATAAATCATAAAATCCCTTTGTTACAAAAAAGGTTGGATTCGTCACGTCTTGATACAAGCCTGGTCGTTTCTGACCAGACCCAAGTCCTAAAAGAACACCGTCATAAATCATAAAATTCCTTCGATACAAAAAAAGTTGGATTGTGTCACGTCACAAAGCGAACCTGTCCGTTCCTGTTTTCCCCTCCCTCGAGGTAAAACGCTCTTAAAAATTCCGCTTTCCGTTTTCGGTATCTTAGCATCATATCCTTTTTCGAGCTTAGCGTCGTCTACCACGTGTTCTCACCAAAATGGCGCTAATCGGCTCTTCCGCTATTTTACCGCGTGACTTCAGCGTCGTCCGCCACGTGCAGGCCCAAAAAGACGCTGGACACTTTAGGCGGGAGAGCAAATCAGACGCTGGGTAGGTATGGAGTATCTAATCAAAACGCGCCATTTAGTTACTATTTTGATTCCGACATTTTTGTTTCGTAGTCGTCCACCACGTGCAGTCCCAAAAAAGACACTAGGCACTAGACGCCTCAGGGGTGGGAGGGCCAATCAGACGCTGGGTAGGTATGGGGTATCCAATCAGAACGCTGGCTAGGTATGGGGTATCCAATCAGAACACTGGCTAGGTATGGGGTATCCAATCAAATCGCTCCATTTCACCCCCACCCCCCACACGGTAGCCAATCAGAGAGCCCCGAGGTCACGTGGGCAGACAGTCTGGCCACGCCCCTGGCGCCGGAGGGGTCGGTGGAGGGGGTTTGTTTTGACGCCCCATACCTATCCACTTACTACTACTGTATTAATTTTTGGGGGAACTATATATAGAAGAAAGACGTACGTTTAACGAGGCAATTATTTCCGAAACGTACGAGAGGCGTTCTATAGGAGATACGATTATAGCTTGGGCTTTCGACATTCGCGATGAAAGAAAGTGTGATCCCGGTGTTTCTGAAGTCGCGAATCTCGAAGGTAATGTACAAAGCTCGATGTCGACGTTCATGCGAGGACGCACGAGAACCTAAAAAGAATAGACAAATTCACCCTCGGTTCCATCTTTCGTATTTTCTCTACGATTCTCTCCCCAACGGTACAGAACTATAATAAACTCACGGCATTTATATCTTCACGGGACAGAAGTTGTCGCCAAATATAGAGACGATCGTATCTTCTGTATTTTATCGCGTTAGATTCTGCAGTAACAGAATCTACAAGGTATGACGAGCGTGCTATCTTTATTACTTAGGCTCGATGCGTTGTCAAGTCAAACGAAAAAAAGATTCCGAAAAGATTTTTTCAAAAATACAAAAATGGACACGACGTTCGATGAATAACAACAAACTGAATCTTTTCCACGCAAGTCCAATATGTACGTCTCGTTTTCCCGCATACGTCTGAGTCTTAATAGTTTCGAAAATGTCGGAAAGAATATACAACATGTATTCGTATTATATCTACATAAAACGATATATCCTTACAGAACTTGAAACATATAAGTAATTTTTGTGTTTCTTATACTTTGCACTTTTCTGTTTTTTTGTATCTTACTTGTATCAACTTTTTTTTAGATAAAATTATTATTTAAGGAAAACATCCGAAGTGTCACCATCTGAGTTTGATGAACTATGTCGTTTTCTGGATAAAAATGAGGGACGCGTATTTTTTTATACGTGCCTAATTATATGTTTAGGGAGTAAAACACCCTTTTGAAAAGAATTAGATTTTCTTTTTCGGGGCGAATATCTCTGTAGCTATAAGAGATATAGAGAAAGTTTTTTAAATAAAAGTTGAATGGAATGAAGAGAGATAGATGAAGATAGAGAGAAAGAGAGAGAGAGAGAGAGAGAAGGGGGAAGGAAGAGGGAGAGGAAGAGGGAGAGAGCGATGGAGAGGGAGAGGGAGAGGGAGGGGGAGAGGTAGGGGAAGGGATAGATAGATAGATAGATAGATGATCTTTATTAAGCCCAAGCATAAGCTATAGGGCAAATTCATAACATAGCCATAATACATATAAAGTAGTGTAAGCATAAAGATTCTGAACAAAAGTATAAGCAATAGCTAAACATAAAAGGCGGAAGATTATGTGAGTTCAAAACTAAAAGGAGACAAGCATGTTCATGATCAATTGTTTGAACTCATCTCGTCAACACTTATTTGACGCATG